GAAGCAACGTTAATTTTAGTGACCTCCGATTGGCGTAACCGGGTGTCATTACCGCCGACGTGAATAACAATCTTACTGTATTTAGCATTAGCCTTAGTCAGCAGTTTCAGATAAGATTCTATGTACAGCTGTCATTTCTAACCCGAACCTGGAGCCTGGCCCCACCTGACCCGGACTCGGACCGGGTCATAATAATGTGCTTAATGGGCTGGCCGGGTCAGTGTTGGGCATTTTATTGCGTCAGGGATGCGCGCAGCTGACGATCCAATTATATGTCTACATGGCTTGCCATACCATCACCTACTGCACATGGCCATTTGACTGCGTGCTGACCAGCCGGTTGAAAAAGGTAAAAAGTTCAGTTAAGCTTCAGATGGACTACTGCCAGCAATCCATCAGCCCAAATGGACGTTCCTTCAGCCCCTGCACTCAGCAGACGCGCGCGGCCGATGACCCATACAGGTGAGATCATAAAATATCTGACATGTCAGAGCAGGTTTGAATGCATGCAGAAGCAGGGGAAGCATTTAATGTTCTTTGGAGGCTCCTCAGCTCCGATCTTCTGCCCCCTTTACTCAGTCGCGCGTGTCCGCCGACCATTAATAATAGTCAGTGGTAGAAGCAGTCAAAGCTTAATTAAAAATGTTGGTGGTGGTGGTGGTGGTGGGGGGGGGGGGGGTGGGTTCGGCCTTGTAATTACTGTTAATTTGTCGGATCGGGTGGGGTTCGGAGCTGATAGCTGTGGGCTGGGCCGGGTCTGTTTGGATTTTTTGGACCTGACTGCAACTCTAATTCTATGTCACCCGCTCTGGCCCCCGGAATGCATTTGACTATGGCCGCTGGAGTCCCTAAAGTCACGTTTCAGACTATGGAGCTTCCAATAACCAGGGTCTGCTTCTCAGCGGGTGTGTCACTGAGCGAGGAAAATCGATTAGAAACGTGAACAGGTCGGTGATGAACTGGGGGCTTAGCCTTAGCACTACGCTTGCTCCGGATCGTCACCCAGCTGGCCTGGGGTCCCGGCTGCTCGGGGTCTGCTGGAGGACCACTAACGGGAGCTAGCCTCTGTGGTTCTGCGCTGTCTAAGGGGACCTGGCTAGCTACTGGTTTTTCTACAGCGCGGAGCCGAGCTTCCAGTTCAGACAGCCTCTCCTCCAAAGCGACCATAAGACTTAATTTGTTACATGTATCATTATCACTAAAGGATGCAGAGGAGTAACTAAACATCTGACACACGGATCAAGAGAAAACAGAGGAAGCAGGGAGAGAAGCAGCAGCCATGCTAAGCTAACGTTAGCAGGAGCTAGCAGAGCCAAATACACAATAAAACCTGAGAAGTGTTGAAAGATAAGAGGTGTTTTAAGCACTATCCAACAGTAGAAAAACAACTGTCCTAAGTGTGTTTGTTGTTTGCGTTTCCCTGAGGGTGACTGAACTAGACAGAAGGACCTTCTCCTACACCGCTCCTGTTTCCTGGAATATTTTACAAAAAATCTGACGCTCTCGACCTTGATCTCTCTAAGTGGCTTCAAACATCTGTTAAGTTCATGGGAAAAACAACGCAGACATGTTCCTGTTTTTAGTTTTCTACACTGCCTTATAATCTAGCCGTTTAAAAAAAAAAACATTTACTTTTATTTGTTCTTCTCAATTTGTATGGTTTTTATAATTGTCCACTGTTGTCATCATCAGGTCTTGCTTGTAAATGAGTCCCAGAGGCTCAATGGGATTAACCTGTAGAAATAAAGGTTGGACGAAAAATGTGTGTTTCAGATTGTTAGGCAATGCACAGCAGCACTAACACCAGTGTGTTTTACCTTCAGGTACTACGTGGACAGCACCACTGACATCCTGTTTGAAAGATGGTTCTACTGCGAGGATCTGGGAACCCAGCTAGTTCCAATAATCAAAGAGTACGAGCAGAGTAATGAAGTGATGCACACTGCGCACTTTCAAAGTCCACCCAGGCCCAGAGCTGTTTGCTGAAAGATGAAAGGAAGTGGCCAGTTTCTCAGGGTTGAAAGTGACGTGTCCATCAAAAAATCTCAGGCGTCACTTTTACCAATGAGATCGAGCGTAGGTTCATAAAGTCCTCAGAGCTCAGGGATGTTATCGTTCAGGATCTACATCCATACAACTACTTTAAACTGTGACAACCTGTTGCTCTGATGATGAGAGTTTACCCAAACTAAATGTAATGTCATTCTGCAGAACCTCAGAGCAACTGAGTTCAGAGAAGAAATTCTTGAGCTGAATTCATTTGAACCCAAGTTCAAATGAATTCAGCTTCTTTTCACTCAGTTGACAGTTCATTGGAGGATTGCAAATATTAGAAACATCCCAAGTTCAAATGAATTTTAGATAAATTTACCTCCAGCACATGAAGGAGTTTGGAAGTGATGCTTCCCGTTTCCTCTGTGAAAAGAGCAGCTCCTAAAAAAAACACCTTCATCACACCAAGCTGTTGTTTTGAATATCTAACATTCTACTTTTGACTTTTCATATGCAGATTTATGGCATCAACACAGTACAAAACAAAAAAACCCAACACAAGTAAGTTTGTTCCTTTTTGTTTAGACTTGCATCTGGTTTCTTGAAATGATGGACATATTTTATTTTTGTATAATTAGATGAAGTCTTCAGAGAGCCTCCATTCCAGCTGAACACCATGAATGTGATGTCCCCCTTCTCCTTCAGAGACTGGTTGGATAAACAGAGACCATTGCTGTCCAACGGCAGCTCCATCAGTCTGTTCGGACCCCAGTTTGAGACTGAGGTACAGGAAGCTGGGCTCATTTCATAAAATAAACCTTTTCTTCCACTCATTTGTTGTAAAATCAGGATTATCTGAAAAACATGTTTCAGGAGAAAGAAGACATGTTGAAACAGAAAATACCTAATGACACTTCTTGTACGTCTCCTGAAGTCAGGAGGGAAGTTCTTCAACACTTTCCACTTAAGGCACACACATTTGTTTGAACAAAATTCATCTGATTGCAGCAAATCAACACTTGTGTAACATTCCAACATGTGCAGCTGTAAACATCTGTGTAAGACTTCTGCACACAGAGGAGAAGATGATGGCAGATAGAAAGAGGAGTCACCTTGTTGTGGTGCCTGCAGGTGTTGGTGTTTGGACTGGGACTCAC